GTCCCAGAATTCCCCAGCCAGCCATGCTGGCTGGGGAATTCTGGGACTTGAAGTCCACACATTTTAAAGTTGTCAAGGTTGAGAAACACTGGGTTAACCAATTGGTTACATTGCCTTCAATTAAATATATTGATCCATTGGTTCATTTTAAATACTGAATCAACTTGGATGTTGCCCCTTCCTATGTGAGATTTGTGGCAATTGTCTCCACTGCCCACAACAAAGACCTTGGATCAGTATGTTTATTAGATGCAACCTTTCAGGATTTCCAGATATTTTCATTATGCAGTCTGTTATAAAAAAAAGTTGGGAAGGGAGAAAAAAGATTTAATAATGAAGTCATATAGGCATGTTTTCTTCTCCACCTGCGCATATCTTTTATAATGTTTTACCTGATGAAAAGACTAGAGATCTCAAAAACTTGTGTATTTTTGGTGACTTGGTATAACAAGGATGTTCATTTGGGGAATTTTTCTTATGGCCATCACAACCTCGGCTATTCCATTAGAAAGTTATTTATTCATTTTATTTTACTGATGTGCTGCCCATTTCTAAAGGCTTGGGCAGCTAAGAGTTTAATTATAGAATAAAAAATCATGTCCCCAAGGCCCTCCCCCATAAACATGCATAAAGATAATGAACTCCCAAAATATATTGAGCAAAAAATACAGAAGTCATGTGCTTCCAAAACCCATGTTCAGTCATAACACCCCGTCCTCTGGTGGTAGATAGAACAGGTAAGTCTTCTTAGGTCCTAAAGCCTAGGATGGATGGAGCTGACTGAGTCTCCACAGGGAGGGAATTCCAAAGTGTGGGGACAGCTGTCAGAAAAGCCCACTTCTAGTGTCTCATCAGATGGGACATGAAGGAAGTTGGCCCTGTTTGATCTGATTGGATGGCTAGATGAATACAGGAGGTAGTGGTCCTCAATCAACAGAGCTATCCAGTTTACATTCAGATGAGATTTACACATCTTGTTAAGCCATTTTAAGCATGGTTGCATGACACTTAGCCATGATTAAAAATCATGGAATTTATGGAATTCTACTTTTTGTGTTTTCACAACTTACTGAACCATGACTACATGCACTGGGTTTGTGAGAAACAGCTGGCTAAAATCAGGTTTATAGGCCTGTAACTCAAGTGTGTTGTGCAAATAAAGCTAGTCTGGCTTTGAGTTAGTTTGGCTGATTGTGTGAGCCCAGACCTAAAACAGTAATGTACAACTGAATTTCCTGAGTGCATATCTTTTGTGGTTCGCTATGCCACGCGAAAGCAGCTATGGAACATCCGTGACATTTCCAGGTTTTGCGGGGCGGACTGGGGTTTTAATCAGATCCGAGCCCAAACCCGAATCCAAACACCGTGCGCTACTAAGCGATTTAATCCCCAGCAGTTTGCAGGAGCCATTCCCATCTCCAAAAGTGCACTCCGGGTTTTTCTGCCCGCCTCCGCGCCGTTGGGGGTGGCTTGCTGTGTGTTTGAATGAGAAAGCAGGTTGTGGCGGCAGCTGAAGGAGCTGGCTGGGGGCGGCCGGAGTCTCTTCTGCCTAGTGCGCGAAGGGCTTCAAAGTCGTTTCAGGTCCGGCAGGAGGAGGCGAGAGAGAAAAGAAGAAGAAGAAGAAGAAGAAGAAGAAGAAGCGGGGGAAAGCGCAAGCAAGAAACCTGGAAAGGTGGGTGTGAAAAGAGCGGGGGCTGCTGGAGTTATCGGATAACCCGGAAGGGCGCAAGGGAACTTTTAGAAAAGCTTTC